TTCTCTCTGCTGTGGTTCAGACTGTTTGGAGGGATCTCAGTGAAGGCAGGGGCTATGTCCCTCTTGGCCATGTGGGGTCTTTAGCCTAAGGAGAATAAAATTAGCAGCAGTAAAGTAATCCCTCTTGGATCCTCCAAACCAATTAACTACAGCAGAGACAACATCTGATACAAAATGTGAGCTTGTGACTACAATACCATCATTTTTCCTTCCTCCTGTATAATTTTTGAACATCTTTTGCCTGATGAAGAAGTCAGTGGAATTTCAAAAGTTTCTATTTTGTAATGGAGAGGAATTAATGTTAAAGTTTGCTGCCTTACAGTGTCACCTGTTGCGCCCTGCACCCCCTGCATCCTCTAGTGATGCTTTTGCATCTTAATGTAATTAGCAGGAAGTTTTCTCTACCATCATTTTAACAGCATAGCAAGTTGCATAGCAATTTGTTTTTTCAACATCTGTTGCTCTCTTTAAAACCATCTTTTTGTCATTATTGGAGTACCCACTTGAGAAATATATTTGACTCTTGATAAGATGTATACAGGGATTGCTTCTGAAGATTTCCAAGAGTTACATTTGTTGACATATAACTTGGGCCCAGGCATTAACAGACCTGAGCTGTAAAACTACTGAGAATTTTGAATGTGTGTTTCAAAGGAATACAAATAAGCATGTTATTCTATTATTTGCCCTGAAATATGTGGTCTGAGGTTTATCCTAAGCCTGTTTGTTTAGCTAGTTCAAGGCCTAATTCCACATTTATGACAGTTGAAATCTTATCTTTTGCTGCAGTGCACACACAGCCATCAGTCACATAACAGAGTAAGCCAAATGAAATGATGAAAAGGAAAAATAATACCCACTGAATTATTGAAATGTCCCTAATTAAACATAGCATTTTTGGACCTAAGCGTCATTGTAGGCTTGACCCGAAATCTGGGATTACAGCATTGCTTTCTGTTTGCATCCCACATGTTATCATATAATTAGGATCAAGACTGGTCTTCACACAAAGTTTCTATGGACTCTTCGGCTGATCCAAGCATATAAGTAATGCAGGCAACTGACTAAGCCACTAAAATTCTATAGACACTTGATGTAGCCTTCGTAAACATCTTGGCCTAATTTTAAAATAAATTACTGCATTATTTGCTTCTTTTGTTTTTATCATTAGCATTATTTATAAGTCACACCACAGCACAAAATTTAGGAAACACTAGAATAACATGTCAAATAAAAATGCATAAAATACAATATAAACATAATAACACAACCTATAGCCAGGGTTAGACTGTGACTCTGGAGACCAGGGTTCGATTCCCACCTTGGTTATGAAACCCATTGGGTGACCTTGAGCAAGTCAGATGCTCTCAACCTCAGGGGAATGCAATGGCAAACCTCTTCTCGACAAATCTTGCCAAGAAAACCTCATGATAGGATCACCATTAGTTGGACCTTAGGATCACCATTAGTTGGAAATGACTTGAAGGCACACAACAACAACAACAACAACAACATTATAACAATGGTGCCTAAAATGAGGGACAAATTAATAAAATAGAGCTGACAATAAACATCAGCTAAACTATGTGTGCATGCCTTCATGTCACTTTTTGACTTATGGAGTACCCATTCATTTGATATACTTTTTTTGAGCAAGATATACTCAAAGGTGGTTTGCCATTTTCTTTCTCTGAAATATAGCTTGTGGCACCTGGTATTCTTTGGCAGCCTCCCATCCAAATATTAATCGGGACAGCTGGTCCTGCTTAGCTTCTCAGACAGGATCTGGTGCCTTCACCGTATTTAGGCAAAATATCAGCTAAACTACGACTGGATTAAATATTGCAAGCAAATAAAATTAAGGCCTGCCAAAAAAAGAGAGAAAAGATATTTGCTTGGTGCTGAAAGGCCTCTAGAGTAACTGTCAATCAAACCCTTTTGGACAAGTTATTCCATAATTATGGTACCACAGTTCACTGCAGATTATTTAAATGGTTAGCTGAGATTATACCATTTATTGCAATATATTAACCGTACAGGAACATTTCTTATTAAGTCCATTGCTAAAGAGGATGAAATGTGAGAAAATATACTATTCTGAATGTCTGAACGTTAGTGAATGTTGATTATTACATACGAAAGCTGACAATCTCCAAAAAAGGTTAGGGATTTCTGAAAATACAGTTAATTATCAATTACCACTTATCTACGCTAAGCCTGGATCCAGAATTGTCAACATTCACAAGGTGGTTTTAAAATTCACCATATATGAGGCACTCACTATAACAGTCATAAAGCAGGGGAAAGGAAAACAGTGAGGTACCACCTAGACAGGAAATGTACTTATGGTGAAGGTAAAGAGCAAAGTAACCATTTCTGTATGTAGATGACTTAAAGAGATTAAGATGTTAATAAGGTCATCTTTAAAAACCAAGCATACTGGGAAGCTTTGTGGTGTTTCTCATGGAGATATATGCTAAATTACACTCTGACAAATTGCCCTGCTTATGACTTCAGCTCACCCCATTTACTTCTGTCAGTGTAGGGAAATCCCCATTTTTTCTTTCCTGCAATGTTGTTCTCTTGTAGGCATGCAGGACTGTGACCCACTAAG